ACTTAATTACATTTCAAAATTAATTTCAGTTAACTTTATATGTAAGTTATTTTGACTTTTATGTCAGATCTGCATTAACTATCACAATATATATTCCATTTTATTTTTAGAATCTCTTAATCTCAAGACATCCTTATTTTTTTATGTGATGAATCCTGGAGCCTACAATCAACTAGAGCAAACATTTACTTTAGATGATTTGCAATTTGTAGGAACACTAACATGAAAAAAATACACGTGAAAAAAACCAGAATTATTAAGCATACACTACACCCCAGCTTCTTGAAAAGTGCATGGAATCAGCAAATCTACATTTTAAATTGACTGCACAAGAGAACTGGAAATGGCTTTTTAATCAAAATATGAGAGGCAAAACTCATCAGCCTACAGAACTCACTGCTGTTCAAAGTCCTACTTCAACCAATCTGCATTAAACCAAGTGTAGTACTCAGGTCTTCAACATGCCCCTCAGAGCGGTGCTTCCAGAGCAGCCCGTGGGAGGACGTGCCCGGGGGCCGGGGCCGGGGCAGCCCCTCTCCAGAGCCACGGCTCAGCCGAGGGCAGCACCCTGTGCAGCCCCAGCACCCGCAGCAGAGCAGCAAGCGCTGAATGGCAGTGGGGCTGGGAGCAGGTCGCAACTGATTGCATGGCCGCTAGGCAAATTAGGGTACAAACCTAGCATCCTCCAGGGAGGAAGCGACTGGCTAAACTAACATAAATACCTGTGCTGTGAAGGGCTTGGAGAAGGGTTGCTTATTTTCTCTGAAGCACACTGTGATGTATCTATGCAGACCACACTTTCTGTAACCAAATATAAATAAGCTAATTGCAAAGATCCCTTTCCAACTCTTCCTCACTACTTTGTATTTATGTGGCTAGAATTTCATTCCAAGTCTTGTAGATTTGAAATTATAACATTGAAGAAAATTATATTCCCAAATCAAGTATACAAAAGCTACACTAAACCCCCCTACAGTAAGCGTTAACAGGACCATTTTTAAAATATCAGTTATCTGGAATTCAAAGTATCATTTAGCCAAATGCACACACATACAAACACACTCTCTTATAGCAGCATTAGAAGTTTTGATACAGTCTTTCTCAGAAAGAGAAAACCCAGAGAAAATTTCTTTGTTTCTAACTTTCTTTTCACTAGAAAGAGGAAGCTCAGCCTGTAGAGTTGCATGGACCACGGTAAACAGCCTTCACACAACTTATCTCTCCTCTATTTGCAAGAGCTGCACATGGTTGTTATTTTTCCAAGTATTAATTTTCCAATTCATTATTGCCTTGCCCATGCTAAAATTAAAAAGATGCATCAATATTTAATGAAAACAGGATATGATTGCATCCTCTGTAGAGCATGATGTAGAGTAGTCCCTTCATGTTTCCAGTGAACCCTTAAGAGTGAAGCTTGGCATCAGCCCAGAGTTCTGCTCAAGAAACCCCTCTCCTTCCCTGCCCCAGTTCTCCAGCCCCCAGTTGTACCAATACAGCTGTTGATGCAAACACGTCGCAGGTGACCCGCAGCAGAGTCCCACTGACGACTGAACCAGCAAAACCAAGCAGCAGGAGCCATGATGCGTAGTTGGTCATTTCTTCAACCCGTGTCTCCTCAAACTGCAGACCAAGTTTTCAGAGAATGGACCTCCTCCAGCATAATCTAGTGTTGCCCTGTCCTCAGATTGAGCCAGACAGTTCTGGCTGACTTTCCTAATGCCCCTTCAACGATCACAAAGCCCAGCTCAACATGCTTTCTTGCCTCTGCTCTCCAGTAGGGATAGTCACTGCAGATGTAACTTCAAACGTCTGTCAGCAGAGTTAGGCATCCCCTCACTCTCTTTGTCACAGAGTGAGGGGGCCCTTTCACACAGTTGTTCTACTGCAAACACCCAAAACGGCACAGGAATGTTTGGAGGGGAAAAAAAAACACAAAAACAAAAAAAACCCCTGAAATCAAAACAAAACCCCAATCCCATCATTCTTTTACATATGCCTGGAAAAAAAAACCAAATTAAATCAGGTTACTGATCAGACATAGGTTATAGTTCATTCAGTCATTCAATCCAATGCCTCACAACTGATCAAGACCTTCAAATAATGGATCACCACTGTGTTGTCACTACGTAAACATCCCAGCTGCAAGGCAATTGTAATGTACAAAATTAACATAAATAGGGAATGGAACATAACATCACCAGACTAAAAGCAGCAAAAAACATCATAGGCCTATAATTTTTGTATAAAGGATGCTGTATGTGAATTTGTAGCGGAGATAAGAGAAAAAAAGGACAGGTAACGCAAAGTATGTTAAAGAAACACAGCAGTGAAGTTAAGTTGCCGGTACTGTTTCAAAAAAGTTTTCTTCTGGAAGCCTACACAAACTCTCCACCACCCTAACTGCATCAGTTTCATAGGAACTCTTCTTGAGAAAACAACTGGAAAGTCCATCCTTTTTCAGACAGATGCCCAGAATAGCCCAGCAATAAGGTAACTCCCCACTGGCACAGAAGAGACACATTTAAACCCCTAACCTAAAATCAGGCAAACTGCAAGCCTGTGCAAGGTCCTAACGGTGGCATCAGAGAGTCGGTCTCTCTCTCTGTCCACACACAGACTGCCCCTTAATGCAAACAGAACATCCTGCAGGCAACAGAACAAGCAGATCAAACCCAGATGACTTTCACACAAGCTCCTATAGATGCAAGCTGCTAAAATGCTAGTGCTTTTGAAGTAAGCTGCTAGATTTAAACACTAAACAAACCAACCCGAAGAGAAGAGCCCAAGCGCAGCTGCACCCCAGGGATGCGGCTGCAGGGAACTGTGCAGCAACGGTGACACCTCGTGGTGCCAAACCACCGAAACACAGACCTCTTCCCAAACACAACCTGCCTTACACCCACCGGCGGGGTACAGAGGAATTACAAACAAAATAGCCAAACAACCTCTATATCGTTCTCCTTCTAAACCAGTAGCTCCCGTAGAGATAGGAGTCAGAAACTTGAAACTTCATGCATGAAATCAAATCTCTGCCTCTTTTCATACCTCCTGTCTCTCACTGACCTGTCTTTAGCAGTGTTTTCCCATTCCCTGCTCCGTGGTATTGATGACTACACATGGGAAACAGTAGAACTGACTACGTACAATGTTTAATGCAAAACTGCTAAATGAATAGAGGAAGAAAAAGAAGCCAGCCCAGCTCTAGCATCTTCTGGTCAAAACGACTACAAAGAAATTACTGTAAACAAAAAGCTTCAGAGAAGCAAGCTGACAATGCCAGTTACATAAAAATTAACATTGTTTTTAATGAATTCAAGTCAACTATATAAAAGTTTACTTTCCTTCATTATGGTATCTCCCATCCCCAACAGATGCTCAAAAGCATTACTTTCTGCCACGTCACAAACAGAAATCTCGGATTACATATCTCATCACACTGCATGTATTTGAGAAGTCAGTTTGCCTTCCCACTGCAGAAGTTAGTGTGAAATTTTTCCCTAGGATACAAGCTTAAAAAAAACTGAGGCATGTATCTTTTTCAATAAGTGCTCAATATCGAAACTAAAAACAAAAAAACAAACAAAACTTTAAAAGCTGTTACAAAAACAAAAAGAGAAGGCAAGAAATAAATGAGAAACTTTTTATTGCTGTGCTTGGGTTTCAGGGGTTATGGGAGTGAATTCCAGGTTTGGGCGAGGAGTGATTTGGGTTTATGACAAAGCAGGGATAATTTCATGCAGTAGGGGAAATAACTCTTCCCCCAAAAATGATTTGAAATGTCATTTTCTAAGGGAATTCTCCCTCCATCTCCCACCTCTATTTCTTCCTCCTATTCACACATGCATAGTAACTAATTTTTCAAGTGACAGCTGAAATTAGTTATTTCAAACAGCTAAAATGGCACCTATCTATCATGTAAAAGATGAAAGACTAGTATCATCCCAGGACATTTAGTTTCTCGTGATGTGCATGAAAATTACATTAGCTACATATATCAACACTAAGGAACCACTGTATAACAAGTTAAAAAAAAAAAAAAAAAGAGTGGAATTTCTGAAGGTAAATAGTAACAATTGCCTTCTTTCAGAAATTGCATACCTTGCCCGTGATTTGAAAATCCATTAGGAATTTCTCAAGTGGTTACCATAATATCCATAGTGTGACCACTCTATGGCCCCGCAGACTCACCCAGGAGTATTTTTAATGAGTTTATTCTGTGTCCAGGGTTATTTTCACATCCCAACTAGAGTAGGAACCTCAGCTACATAGCACAGGGCACGGGCATGCTTCATTTGCTCCAGAAGCTAAAGGAAGGGGCTGAAGGCCAAAGAAAACACAGGGGTGCTTGTGCACTAACTGGAGGGCGCAGAGAAACAGGAATGCTCAGGACTGGGGAGTTTAAAGAGTCAGAAGAGAATTGGCTTTACAGAAGAAAATGAAATAGTAGAGGATCTGGAGCAGGACTGCGGAGTTCAAGGGCAGAACCCACTGGAAGAGCAGCAGCTTCCCAAGCTGCAGTTTTTGGAGCTTGGAGGAAAGAGACAGGAAAGAGGGACAGGGTGTTCTAGAGTAAGAAGATGAAAGGGAAAAATCTCAAAATACTTGGGGTGAGATTACCTCCAGGCCTGCTCTAGAGGTAAGGGAACACACGTGACCATTGCTCCTCTTCTCCTTCACCCCCCTCTCTTTGCTGTCAAAAGCAATAGGGCTAGTTTGTGACCACAAGAGAGACTGGGCATTTGGAAGAGCCGCTGGTACCAAAGCCTCTCAGAAACATTACCCTTCTGTGAAACTGCACATGAGTACAAATTAACTCTCAGTGCTTAACAGCAGATATTTTTGGCCCTACCACTTATTTCTTGGCAGCACAGTTTAAGCAAAGCTAGATGTTTTTGTAACATCATGATTCAAATATATCCATAAAGCAAGCAACATTTTCAAATTGTTGTTGGCTAAGGTCATGTTTTGCAAACTTACAATTGGTACCAAGTGAAGCTTACCTATTTTTTTTTGAATTTTCATCCTTCCCTCTTTTAACCCCAAAAATTCTTGTAATCAGAGCGCTAAACAGAAGTGTAGATGAATTTCTTACCTAAAGGAAAAAGAAAAGAACATGAACTATGTTTTAAAAATCCCTTTGAAATATACTATTTTTCTTTTTTAAATACAGACACTAATGTACAGTCGAAAAGAAGAACAGCTGAGCGAAGGACAGAGCATGCTTACTGTTCAGAGGTCAGCACATGGAAACAATTGACTCAGTGCATCGTTTCTCTTAAACAAGATGGTACTAATAGATAGTTCAGATTTTTTTGGAGATGTCCATCTTTAATACAAGGCATACATCAAGATTTCTAGTGGTTCAAAGCATTCACCCTTATGCATCGCAGATCATGAAATGTTCTACCTTAATATACCATAGGGACTACTATCTTTCATTGAAAAGCAAAGTAACAGTGAGAATGAATGTAAATGCACTTCTTACTAGCTAGGTGCACTGACTCAAAATTTAACAGTCAGATATATTTTTATCTACAAGGTAATCTTTGTCCCTACTTTTTGTCAATATCAGCGCTTCACATTACAGAAAAATGAAACAAAACCAAAAAATGTGACCAAAACTATGACTTTTTTGTAGGTCTACATTATTCTTTATTGTACCTTAAAATATTACACCACGTAGCTTTCCAGAAATTATGGTACTGCCATTTATAAACATGACCAAAGCTTCACTGAACAGCACCACTCTATAACCTGTTAAATTAGAGATGCAAAATTAAGAATTAACTTACTGCCCAGACAGGTGACATAAAACCTAGAATTGCTGCTTGTATTCCATCTGCAACATAAGGCATGATGTTTTCACCTAAACGTGTATCCCTAAACAGTGCTCGGAGGATATTTAAAGCATGAACCTGGGGGGGGTAGAAGAAATATAAGAAATATATACATTAATTGGAAAATATCTTAAATTTAATGTATGTTAATTACAGCAGTTAACATGCAAAACAAAAATAATCCATATGCACATTTACACCACTTTATTTCCATATTAAATACAAGAATACTGCTATTAAAAATATATTAAAATGGTGGAGCAGTAGACACTGTTAAAAACAATTACAGTTTAAAAATATATTCCTCTAACAAGTACAGTCCAGGCATTGCATGCGAAGGCTAGCATTCTTTTTTCCTTAGCTTATCATGGCTGTAAAAATAACTTTGGAGGTTCAGAATCATCTTTTCCAGCATTCTTGACGTGCTGTAGACGCTGTGAGAAAAAAAAAAAAAAACTACAGCTCACAGGAGGACAATATTAAGCTAAAACTGACAGCCAGGCTTGTTTCACCATATGGAAGGTGGTAGCTTCTGTGTAGCTTCACGGACTTTGACAAGGCTACATAAATTTATACCAGCAAAAGATCTGGCAGAGCCATTAGACCATACTTCTACATATTGTCAACAAATTATGGCTTGCACTTACAAACAGAAAGATGAAGTAGTTGATAACATTTTGAAGATAAAGATCTTGACTTTAAAATAAAATTTTTATGCATTCCAAATGTATATATTTAAGTTTTGGAAGTTACTAAGTATGCATAAAATCACTTTTCATGTAGTATTTTACTGCATACAATATGATTTATGCAACTAACTTATTCACTCTACATGTAAACAAATGCTTGCTTGTTAATGTCTTGTAAAAAGGAAATTACTCATCTATTTGTTTAGAAATATACTACAGGCAGTAAACTGATCATATACATTCAAAATGAATATGACTATATTTGCTATACTAGAAAAAAACTATGAAATTATGCCCAATCCATTTTTTGGTGTCTCCTGTGCTTGCAAATTCCAGTGACTTCATAACCTCTGCACATGCAAACATGTTTTAAAATCTAGCTATAGATAACAAAATATTCTTATTAAAAACACACACAAATTTCCTTAACTGTTTGAAGTAACGCAAACACTTTTTTGACATTTGCTTTCTGATGAGAGGCTGTATTTTACCTGTGGAACTACACTTGATGATTCATTCAAAGGTGCAGCCAAAGATATCAATTCTTTCATTGTCATTTTCAGCAAATCTGTTTTGCTCTTCTTTGGTTCTGAAGCTAACAAAGCCTACAGAAAGTTTAAAAAAAAAAGAAAGAAAAAATCAGCTGTTTCTAGCCATTTTTCTTTACTAGCCATTCTGCTCCACGTTCCTATATTTACCATATTACAGCCTAGCTTCTGACCATACACAAGGGCTAAAGAAAAATTTGCAAAAGTAAGTTTCAGTTTAACTCTTACTTTTGTTCAAAGTCTCTTACCATTCAATGTTTCAGTAAGAAAACTTTGTTCATGCACCATCCATCTGCCTAAGAAAATTTGCTTGTATATAAACAGATAATAATTTATCACACACCAAAAAATCTTAGTATTTATTACGCCAAAAATATCAGCCGTATTATACATACTTATATTTCCTAGCACGGACTTTTTTTTAGTTTAATAACATACATATTTAAGATGACATGGGCTGGCCAAAGAATAAATCCCAGTTTGCAAGACAGGATAAAACAAGCAGCACATTTCTAAAAGGAGAGAAGAGATGCATCCCTCTCCAAATAGTAGTTCAACGGGTAGAACATCCAGCTGAGATGAAAATACTCTAATTTAGTCCTCTAAAATTCAGGACTGAAGTTAAAACAGTCTTTCCCTCTCTGTTTACTAGCTCTTGTTGAATTTGTCCAACTTAGTACAAATGGATAATTATAAATGACTTATTTCTAATAAAAAATGATTATCCATTTGTGTTTTGTGGCCCAGAGTCTGTTCAGCATCAGTTCAAACAAGATATTTAATAATACTTTACATCACATAAGAACAACCAAATGGATCCACTGCAAGCCAAATGAAGTACAGAGGTTAGGCAGAAACCCAGAAGTAGTCAGTGTCAGTTTATCAGTACCTTTAATGATGGGAGAAACAGAGAGGAAGGAAAAAAAAAAAGCATTCATGAAGTATAAAACAGAGGAGAAGGAACTGAAGACTAAAATTTCATACCCTAAAAACGTTAAAGTTGTAACTAGTATTTTCCCACCATTTCCTCACCCACTAATTGGAGCTGCACCTTTGTACTATTAGGTAATAATACTCCTATTTTAAATAGGTCATTTAAAATGCTCATAACCTTAAAAATTACATATTATCATTAAAACAGATGTGTTTTAGTAAAACAAGAATAAATGTCACAGGAAACAGATGGCAAAGAGACCACACTGAGTCTCAATTTTATGCATTAATAAAATAACCTTATTACAGTACTGTTAGGATATGCATTACAACTTGTATTTTTATTATCTAAATGCAACGTGCTATTTAAGGCTTAATTAATTTTACTGAGTGCTACGGGCACATTCAGAACTACTGCCAAAGAACACTATTGCCTCTCTTTACAATAAAATTACAATTTGAAAATAGATTATTTCAGACTAATCCCAACGTTCATTTCAAACCTTCTCATTAATTGACTAGACTAATTTCGTACTCTTACAGAGCTGTCAAAATAGAAGCATCTGTCCAGTTTATCCAAACAGCTATGGCACAGTGCAAGCTCTGCCATATGGACTCAGTAATGTAGGCCAACTGCAGACTACACACGTTTTCTGCAATGGGATACCATTGGGTCCATCTAGTCCTTACATCAGACAGTGTAACTTTTTACACGAAAAATTGATTCAAACATATTTGTTTTTTCACATTCTCAGGATTAACACTAGCTAATGCCTACTGGATTCAAACTCTGTGGTGTGAATGAGGAAACCAGAAGACATGAAATCACCAACTTCACTTTGCAGGCAACTTACAGATATAAAAAAGGGAAAGATCTTCAACTGCTGAAATTGAAAAGGAAAAATGTCTCTAAAACCAATGCCCTGCTTCTGATCTCTGCTGCCTAGCACACACGCATCTAGCAAAGCCAGGAACAGGCTGTGACTGACATAAGAGAGGTCAGACAGAAGCAGGCTGCCTCAATTTTCTCAGGGCAAACTCAGAGTGGAAAACAAGCAAGATGAATTATTCTGGCAGGGAGAGCTTGCTCCCAGCAGTCCCTCAGATTCTTGGAATGTGCTTGAGACTATACTTCAGCAAGCGGAGAAAGTTACAAATCATGTAGTTAATCTTGGATTCCTGTCTTAGAAAACTGGTTGAAAATTAAAATGATGGAGGTTAATTTCGGGAAAGCAATCATGGCCACTTTAAGGAGCAAAGGAATGGAAACAGGTTAAGTGTAATCCGCAGGACCAACTCTGCAGTGACTGACCCCACAAGGATGCAGACGAGCTGCTGCATACTACCAAGAGGCACTCAGTAGGAGGTGGTACTTCGAGCAGAGACAAAACACTGCCAGCCAGCAGATCAGCTGTCAGTTCTGAACTTGGCAGAAGCTGGAGGCTGGGATGTGTGGAGCTGATGGTAACACAGGGAGCAGGAAGACTGCGGGAGCATGGCCCCACACTCACGAATAGAAGTCTTTAGTAATCTACTCATTCATTGCGCTCGAGACTGTCAGTCAACACCAGCTAGTGTGACTCTATTACTTGATCTTGCTTTATTACTGTTGAGTGGACTTCCCAAGCTCTTTGTAGCATTTTCTGCAGTTTGTATTTTCCCACCCTCCCACTTCACATGGAAGAAGCACAGAGTCACATGGTTAACAGAGCCTTACTTAATCGGTGAACTAATTTATGAATTTGCCTGATTACAGTGGCCACACAGAGCCTAGGCTCAGTCTTTTGAAATGCTATTCAAATCCACCTCAAGCCAAAAATCTCAAGAGTCAATAGAACTGCAGCGCTAAACAGCACCAAACATGGTTTAATTACACGCGGCTTCTTGGTTGCACAAAGGCCATCAAAGTCCATATTAAAAAAAGTAATTGTTTGACCAAAAGGGGTTGAAGTAAGAAAAATAAATAAATACATAAGTGCATTCACCAGAAAGGACATTAAAAAAAAATATGTCAGAGGTAATAACACTAGTTGGTACCTGTATGTAGAATGGAATTCCCGCACTACGTCTGGTTGCACACAGTGTAGACGACGGATCACAAGATTTGATTTCTTCTAACACACAGCTTAGCCACTGCTCTGGCATCCTGCGCAGACTCTCACTGTTACATCTACATGAAACAAATACATAAGAAACATGACACAAATATGTAAGAAACTAGGACAGAGTCAAAGAAAGCATTTAGTGACCTTAAGAAATAATTCTTACTGTATGTGAACATCTCACATGCACATACGCAGATTTTTTTTTTTTTTTTAAGAAATAAGACAGAAATAAAAGGAATTATATATTTTTCCAATGTTGGTACAAGTCTACTTCAATTGCTGGTGCTGATCAGTTCAATGAAATGCACCATATTCAGTGTGCAAGACCAGCTCATTAATCTTATGTAAATGTTCCAAAAGGATCATCGATTGTTACAAAAATTTCTATTAACGGCACGTTGTTATTAAAACCTGTCACACTGGTTTGGCACATGATTCAGAGTAGAAGAAAGAATTAATCACTGTGGGCAATACAACTGCAATTATCTCAACTATGCAGGACTTGCCTTACCTAAAAATATAAACTATAATTAAATTCATGATTAAGTAGCGAGACCTTACAGTAAGACTACAATCAAGTTTTCTACCGAGGTGACTGAAATAAAGAATTTAAAAGAAAAGCTAAAAGGCAGCAGGTACTGATGTGAAAGCCAAAATCTAATGGAAGGTCTACATTTACTCTCTCCTTCTTTACCCTGCTCTTATTAAAGCAAGAATTTAGGTAGACTAAAAACCTGATACTGAACAACAAATGAGGCTTTAATCTGTAGTGAAACCCTCCTTTCCTTCTTTTACAAAATAAACAGAAAGTTAGTAATGCAGAAAACAGAGGCCACAGGAAGTACCAGACAGGTCAGCAGAAGACACAGCAGGCTTCTTACTCTTCAGTAATTCCCTTAGGATTTCCACCAGAGATTTCCTCCACCGGTGCCAGGCCTTCTCCCCATTTTTAAGGGCAGCACCTCTTCAAAACAGAGGCTAGCATGCGAACCATCAATCCAGAACGCACGAGAAACATGGCTTCCCAAGGGGTATATCACTTCATACCACAGCGTAAAAGAAAGGCACTTGCTGCCCCAAGCCTGTGGCAGAAGCAATCCAATTAAGCTAGAAACTAGCACTGAGTTCTCTGACTTTTCTCTTTCTGTTGCTGATAATTAGCTTCCTCTGCTTACTTTCAGGATGTGTTCCTTTGCTCGCTTTTGGGTACTCAAGGAGGATGCAATTCGAGGGTTGAGACCACGCAAAACTTCTCACGGATCTCCTCCGTGGGTTCCTGCAGCTAGACTCTATTTTGCAGTTCTCTTCATCCACATCAACACATACTGCAAAAGCTACTACTTCTGACCATGTCTGTGGCTGGTCTCACCTCCCTAGCTAGGCAGAATTTAAGTGTCTTAGTTTAGTCATGCAAAGAACAGTGCACATCTCTCTTCAGCATGTTGTCTTAGTATTAAAACAAACAACCCACAAGACATGCATCTGCTGTAGTGAAGAACACCACAAGTAAAGCATTAAGGAAATATTTAAAAGTTGCTACGTAGCATACTGAATATTTTATTCTTAAGTAAACTGAGGGGGTTTTCCCCTTTCAGTAGTAGTAGAAAGAGGAGAAATATACTGAAATCCAATAAACTTCAGACTCCCTTAAAACTGTATTGCTTTGATCTTGCCACAAGTAATTCTACCTTGTTCAGTCACCCACCAAGGCACTTTTTTTTTTTTTTTTTTTAAAAGAAGGTGAAAGAGTTATTGCTTCAAAGTTAGAAACATTAGAGACTATTGACTTTGCAATGGAGATGACTACTCCCTTAAATTTGGCAGCTCCATCTCCTTATGGTCTGGCAAGAAGAATATTGTCATAAGAAGCAGGTGGCCCTAAATTTTAAGAATAATGAAGCTTTACAATGTAAAAATGGTGGTCTCAAGCTCAAATGTCATTTTCCAGAATGAAATAGTAATTATTTTTACCAGATCAAACAAATAGTGCTGGTAATTAAAATATAACACAGTAACTTGATACACAAATTACCTAAGATGCAGTACAGTAAGTGTTTTTCCACAAATTTCTGTCTGTCCATCTGCCGGTTACAACAATTTCAGACATGCCCAAAACCCTTTCTGTGGTCAGTATCAACGAGTACAAAAAGCCTGGCAATCCAAAGTTAAAGCTAAACCCTTCTCCCTAACTCGTACGGCTCTATTTTCTCCTATCCAAAATTAATGGTGTGTTAAGAACAAAGGGTCGATCTTGGATTTGGCCTTCCTTCATGTCAGTGGTTTGTGGCATAAACTTCACATGACCAGAAGCATTTTCTACATGGGTATATCCAGAATTCAGTGTTTCCAATCGCTGTAATCGCTCCCTATCTGGGGAAAAAGGGGTTTTCTTTCACCATTTTTCCTCTCTCAATAGACATGCAGTGTTATTCTTTTTCACATAAGTAATGTGATTCCTATTCTTTCTAAAGCTAGTCTCCATACTGCCCCGGCACTTCTCAGACAAATAAGGAGACAAGAGTCTAGCCTTAGAAACACATTACTATTCAAGGTATAAGTCACCCTAGAAAATGTCTACTTTTAAGAACAGCTCCTCTGAAACTAAGAAGTCCTTCCACTTGCATCCTCCTTTTCATAGCATCTCATCTAAATAAAGCAAAATTTTCCATGCATTGAGAAAGATGCTGTTTTGAGGTTTCTCCAGCAGTAAAGCAGAGCAGAGAGAACCCTGGGTGGCCTCAAAATTTCAGAGAAACAGTATCGTTACCTCTCTCTCTCTCTTTCCCCAAGCAGGAAAAGAAATGGGGGGAGGGGGAGAGAATATAAACAGGGTTAAAAATTAACACGTCTTCAAACTGAGCAATGCCTTAACATCGTATCTTGTACCTCCCAACCCTACAAACATCACAACACCTAAGAACAGTTTTTTCCCCAGTTTATTTCTCTCCATTTCAGACTTTCTTTCACATCTGTGATTACACTTCTGCTGAAAAGTTAGTGGCAATTCTAGTACATTTCACTAGAAAGTCCATCAGTAATTTTTAAATTTTACAAGAAGTCTTCCTAGCAGACCGCAGGGGCCTGGGAAGGCAAAGAGTTACAGTCACTCCACAGCAACAAAATGCGTCAGAAGCAGCGTTTATTGCTAAGTACTAAGAGGGTTTAGTCCCAGTTCCCCAACAGAAACATTACATAAGATCAGACACTGACTAGGTACAGAAGAATAATTTCCACTGATACTGGACTAAATATTTGTAAAATCAAACCAGGGTTTTTCTTTATCACTACACTTTTCCAGAAAACTGTATGATATGGTCCTAACTTGTTCCATATACATAAAATTGCGTTCACTGAGTTTAATTTAAGCTCCAATTTGAACATTTAAAAATGTTCAATATACATTATTCCTAAATAAATACATTGCACTGTATGACATAACTCTTCCCAAACCTTCCCCTTGCATTCTGCAACTTTAGTGAAGCAAAGCACTACAGCCACAGCTACGCGACACCATGATTTTGACATTTCCAGAAATCTTTACGTTCCACTTAATCTCTCAGAAAAGCTTCACTAAATAAAATAAAAGCAAAACAGGCAAAACAGCATTTGGAAAAGAGAAACTGTTTGGGTATTTATAAGGATTACAGGAGATTCAAGTTTAAAACAGATGCCCAGAGGCTTCCAGGTACTTTCCCTATCAGACCAAATGAGCATTTGTAATTTCTCAGGGCCTATGACAGAAAAATATTTAAAAAAAAACCATTGCTTATTTCATTGATATGAATGTTGCTTGTTTTGTAACAGTATGGTTTTCTGAAGGTGCAGCTGCAAACAATATTAAGCAAGCACGACAAAAGGGAGCATTACGCCCCCAGAAAGAATATGAACAGGGAAAAGGAAGAATGGTAACCTGCATACTTAGAGCAGACTCAGCGATTTACCTCCAAATGTCATGACAGAGATCAAATTTCATCAGGTTCATAAGAAATCTCTGTGGAGGAAAGATTTTTCTTGCACCACTAACTCAGACAGATCTGAATACCATTGCTCTGCCTAGAAAGTGGTCTACTCTTGGTTCTTATAAAGACTGGTATTTAAGGGTTGTATAGCTAAAAGCGAGCTCAGATGATAAATATTCCAGCATATAGTCCTAAGAAAATGTTTGGCTATAAAAGCGAAGGACCATGTTCAACTCGAGTCTTTCATAAAATCATGGGAAAGGGATTTGGCACAGTCTTAGTGACAGATTTTTCACTGGGTCTTAAGAGAAAGAATGAATTAAAGTGTCAAGGATGCTTCTGTAGGTCTCGAGTTCAATTCTGTTCAACAAGGTATTATGTTTAAGCTGTACATCACTATACGCTGCACCAGACAAAAGCTTTTTCCTCCAGCATTTGTGGATGTAGCAGTAAATTAATACGGATTCTGGTACACATGCTTCAAGATGGTCCATGAGCCTGGCAGCTACGCAGAGAGGTAGGCCAGTTTGGATTTACTCTCAGAGCGAGCCCCTCAGCTGCAGCAGGTAAATGGAAAGACTCCAGGACACTCAACAGACCTGCAGGGCAACTGCATTCTCCAAAAGACTTAACTCACCTGTTCTGCAGCAGAGTCCCAAGATACTCCTTGTATCCCAGGAGCACCAAACCAGAGAGTCATTGGCTATTCTGCTATCAGCCTCCTTTCTCCTTCATTTTAAATACAAATATTATCCTTGAGACCTGTATTTCCTGGAAAATATCTTCTTTCATTGAAACCAACATATTTCCACAGAGCTGCTCTCTGGTTCTTGTAAACTGCTTTTCCCAAAGGAATACTTGCTCTACTTGAAATACCTTAACTGTAAAAATACTAAGCAGTATGCATCATCAAAAAACTGTTTTGGAGAACTGTTAATTCAGAAGAGGAAAACTACTTAAATACAAGCGCCTTTTTTTTCTGATGATACATACATACTGCTTAATGTTTTAATAACTTCCAGGGAAGCGGAGTTCTCTTGAGCTTGGCTCTTCATTTTACAACATAATAAAGAGCTGCTCTTAAATGGCTTGTGCTCCATTAAATACAATGGCAGAAAAAGGGAGAGGGAACAAACATACCAGGAACTTCTCTGAAGTCTGGGTAGATTTCCTCTACTCTATTTTCCTCAGCTTTTAAAACAAATTTAAAAACTGAAAATCAAAGAAAAACAGCTAGTTTGCCGTGTAGACAGCACATTTTATATGTTTTCCAGTATTTCCCGCTTTTTAGTTTGCCTTTCCTACAAAGTTTGTTCTAGATAGTCCTGCATATTTACTGAGATCAGACTAGTGGGACTGTACTTGTTTGGATCACTGCCTTTCTCCCCTCAAAAAGGCTGGTGGTAGTAAAAGGTTCGTTTGTTTGTTTGTTTGTTTAACACAGCATTACTCTGATGGCCAGGCTCTCTTCAATCTGATGGGAGGAATAAATCCTTTGAAACTGAAGTAGGTCATACAACTTAACCACGGAATTTTTTTTAACATGAACCCATGTTTATATTCGCATCCAACGTACCTAGGGATAGCATCCTTCAATACTCAGCAATTGTTTCTATGCATTCTGTACTGTTAACAGCTTACTTCATTTGGAATACTATATTCATTTCATGAACATTCAAAGAAATGCTGTCTGACATGAAAATACTAGCTATTAGCACAACACGTCTTAATTTGTCACTGTATGTCTCAAAAGACGACCAGTGCCTTAATTTGTTAAGATTTTGTTAACTGAACTTATTTCTGCCTTTGGAAAAAAGCAAGTTTCATATACGAAACTAAGTTTAGATAACGATACAGAAAGTCTTGAGTTATGATGTCAGAGGTCTGCACGAGAAGCACTGAAAAGAACAAAGGATTTTGCTGTTGTAGTGGGGGTTGCTTTGTTTTGTTTGGGTTTTTTGTTTGGTTTTTTTTGGTTGGGGTTTTTTTTGGGTTTGGTTTTGTTGGTTTTTTTACACTATTGCAAGTGCAGCATCTGATTCAGGAGACTGAATGAAGTAGGGCAGAGCGTGCTGAACTATCTATAAACAGCAGCCAGAAGTATGCAGTAGACAGCACAACAATGTTTTGTACTTGACTTGGAAAATCAAAAGTATAAAATGTCTGCTCCGTAGCCCATTCAAATTAGATTCACTAATTGATGTAACAATATAACCACTTATCTAGAAAGCTGCCCAGATAAGCGGGAACACCTCAACTGTTGTCCATGATAATATGTTTCCAGCCACTTATCTTGGCAAGCTTTTTCTCACTCACTGTAGGAGCTGCTCTCTCAACACTAACACTGAAAAGATCTAGCCCAGCAGGGAAGTTAATAAGAAGCCAGCACAAAGAGTGCCACCGAGCAATCATCTGATACATTACCTTAAAACTTCCTGAACCAAGTTTTCATGGTACAGAAAAAGAACACAACATTTACACAAGTGTATATAATGTACATAGATCGGCAAAAAGATAAGGAAGAACAGTATCGCACACGGGTTTCTCTTCTTCCTGTTTAAGTAACGGATCAACTGTAAAGTAAGGTTTGTTGAGAGCTCTCAACAAACTACTCAGACCAATTTGAAACGCTTCAGGTTGCTAGCACATAAAAGGAAATAACGTACCTTCTACAGATACATGACTGACAGAACCATGGCTTACAGTTTAACATCTCGCTGGCATACAGAATGAAAACCATAATGTGTCAAATACCAATTTCTGTAGCAGTGCCGGTACCTACACGCAGCTACCCCACTGACATCCCGTACCAGAGACCAACCCCTCAGTTCTGTTTGGAAAACTGTCTGAGGTGACACAGCAAACCTGGTCAGGCAGCTGGTCTGTACTAAAAACACCAAAACTGTTTCCATCACCAGATTTATTTTTACTTTAAAAAAAACAACCAAACAAAACTATCCCCTCTTCCACCAGCCAAAATAAACAAGAAACAGATCAGTGCCTCAAACTGGCCCACTTGGGGTAAAAGGGGAACACTGGTTACTTAACCTGGCATTGGTATGAAAATACATATACTTGGAATTGAAAATTTGACTGGTCTTTCCAAAAACTACATTAAAAAAAACACCAAAACCCACAAAGTCAGTAGAGATTTTGATTTGTCTTATTAAAAACTGGATATGATATAATCACTATATATCACAAAGAAACATTGCCAACACTTGAAATAGGTAACTAAGCACATAATGGAAATTCCAACGCTCTTGCCCAGACCTCAGGACAATCCTGCTCATTTAGTTCTTCTAGGAAAGTATAAAGTTACAAGGGGAAAGAAAAAAAAATTAAAAAGATTGCATATCACATCTTGTGATGCACTGCCAGGTAGTCTTCCAAATGTCAGAATACACAACTCAATGACAAGTAATAAAAGTTTCCAGGAAAACATCCTGGCTGAAACAAAAAGCCTGGCATTCATTTTCATAAAGGACTGGGGAAGGGGGGGTGGGAGGAAGAATTCTACACTCCTACTTTTCCCAAGAGCTTTTGTGAGCTGTTCAGCAAGCTAACACGCCAGAAATGGAGAAAAATGCAGCAAGCATTAAATGTCTGTATCATCTTTCAATGTCTAAGCACCATCTCTAACCATAAGTATCGCAGTCCAAGTCACAGACGTCATGTAACTAAATGTCATAATCATGCCTACACCAAACTCGCATAAAATCAACATGAAATCAAGGATCTGCTTGCACAGACAGTTTCAGGATCGATGCCACAGTTTGGTAAAACTATTATATTAAAAACACAGTAAGTTGCCCATCTCCTACCTGGAAAGCATTTCTGTAAGTTGCACAAAGCCAGCGTATGCCAATTCAAATGCACCCCTGTGCCTCGACTGCAGCAGATGATGTTTAAAGTAGTCCCCAATATTTTTAACCTAAAAAGGAAAAAAAAAAAGGTATTTGAAATTATATACAGACAATTCATTTATATATAAAAGATACTGCTGCAATTAAAAGCAGCAATCCTTCCCCTGGTTGGAAAGGCCACTAGCAAAACCAAAAAGCAACTGTAAGTTCTATCATTAAAAAACCACTTACTTTAAGGAAAACAATTATACTCATTTTTTCAGGTTAAAGGGATAGTGCTATGTCCTTAAAAAAGGCCAAAAAAAAAAAAAACAGAGACCAACCCCTCAGTTCTGTTTGGAAAACTGTCTGAGGTGACACAGCAAACCTGGTCAGGCAGCTGGTCTGTACTAAAAACACCAAAACTGTTTCCATCACCAGATTTATTTTTACTTTAAAAAAAACAACCAAACAAAACTATCCCCTCTTCCACCAGCCAAAATAAACAAGAAACAGATCAGTGCCTCAAACTGGCCCACTTGGGGTAAAAGGGGAACACTGGTTACTTAACCTGGCATTGGTATGAAAATACATATACTTGGAATTGAAAATTTGACTGGTCTTTCCAAAAACTACATTAAAAAAAACACCAAAACCCACAAAGTCAGTAGAGATTTTGATTTGTCTTATTAAAAACTGGATATGATATAATCACTATATATCACAAAGAAACATTGCTAACACTTGAAATAGGTAACTAAGCACATAATGGAAATTCCAACGCTCTTGCCCAGACCTCAGGACAATCCTGCTCATTTAGTTCTTCTAGGAAAGTATAAAGTTACAAGGGGAAAGAAAAAAAAATTAAAAAGATTGCATATCACATCTTGTGATGCACTGCCAGGTAGTCTTCCAAATGTCAGAATACACAACTCAATGACAAGTAATAAAAGTTTCCAGGAAAACATCCTGGCTGAAACAAAAAGCCTGGCATTCATTTTCATAAAGGACTGGGGAAGGGGGGGTGGGAGGAAGAATTCTACACTCCTACTTTTCCCAAGAGCTTTTGTGAGCTGTTCAGCAAGCTAACACGCCAGAAATGGAGAAAAATGCAGCAAGCATTAAATGTCTGTATCATCTTTCAATGTCTAAGCACCATCTCTAACCATAAGTATCGCAGTCCAAGTCACAGACGTCATGTAACTAAATGTCATAATCATGCCTACACCAAACTCGCATAAAATCAACATGAAATCAAGGATCTGCTTGCACAGACAGTTTCAGGATCGATGCCACAGTTTGGTAAAACTATTATATTAAAAACACAGTAAGTTGCCCATCTCCTACCTGGAAAGCATTTCTGTAAGTTGCACAAAGCCAGCGTATGCCAATTCAAATGCACCCCTGTGCCTCGACTGCAGCAGATGATGTTTAAAGTAGTCCCCAATATTTTTAACCTAAAAAGGAAAAAAAAAAAGGTATTTGAAATTATATACAGACAATTCATTTATATATAAAAGATACTGCTGCAATTAAAAGCAGCAATCCTTCCCCTGGTTGGAAAGGCCACTAGCAAAACCAAAAAGCAACTGTAAGTTCTATCATTAAAAAACCACTTACTTTAAGGAAAACAATTATACTCATTTTTTCAGGTTAAAGGGATAGTGCTATGTCCTTAAAAAAGGCCAAAAAAAAAAAAAAGGACATAAAATTAGCTATTTGTCCAAGAGGAACACACTCAGATTTTAAGAAAAGAAAGGGACAGCCCTGATTTTCAGAGGAAACAAACTTAGAATCCTTCTTGCTTGCCTCCATTCTTACCTAAAGTCCCAAAGAAAACATCTACTAAATCACAACAGCAGAAACAAACATCTACAAAAATATCTGAGAAAGATAAGCAATTCAAACTTCAAAAATTGTGCCAACAGGAAACAAATCTACCTTAGCTATTTTTAAGGTTTTAAGATGCTGCATGATTGCCTTTGACTACCAGAAACAATTTTAAAGTAAAAAAGATGATGTATGTACAAAGTAACGAGAGCTACATTTAAAAGTCTGAAAAAGCTAAATGCTGTAACTAAATTTTCACTGATAAGTTACTTTCTAGAGCTCTACCAGTATACCAAGTTTTTAAAGCTGTTTGGAAGCTTACAATTCCACACAATCTCATTCTGCCAAAAGATACGCTTTTTAATTTTTTCTCTGATTCTCATCAACTTAAAAGGTCTAAATCAAACTTTCAACATAATTTGTTCAAAACACATAGCACATAATTAATTCTATTATGCAAAATTTTCTTCAGGAATATTTCCTAAGAGTTCTTCAGCAAAAGGTTCTTCAAAGCTTTTATATAAAACCAAGCATAAAATCATGTCAAGTTTCTTATAAAATTCTGCTTATTCTGTTACATATAAAATAGCATACTTCAATAGTCTGACAAGTAATTAAGATGTCAGAGAAGTTAATGTCATATCCAGCTATACGGTTTTCCACCCTACTGTTAAGTAATTCATATCACCCAAGCAATGAGATTGCAATAATAAAAAAAAATTGGAGACTAAGTCTACTTATTATTTTCTGCAGCTAAAACCCACCTCAGGTGAAACAAACAATAATTGGAGATATTTGAGCTAAAACAGTTATTCCTCTGAGTGGATTTTAAGCTAGATTCTGTACCTACAGGGTTTTAGCTTTCTAGCCCAAAAGCTGGAGTAAGCACCCTTTTTTCAGAAGGAACTGATCCACAGACAGACCAACTTTCCAGGTGTGTAAACAAAATCTAACCAAGAAAATCATACACATGCAAATCAAATTACTGTCCTGTTCCACCACCACCCTCACATTTTTAGAATAATTCATACGATTTTTTTTTTTTCCTTTTGGGTCATGTAACTTTCAACTTTACTATTTATGTTTCTGAGCTTTTTGCAACAGTCACATTGACTAGAAGCTTACTTCAAGTTGAACTCCGATACATTCATTTCCACTCATAGGCTAGAGTTTGAAGAAAAAGCACTGCCCTAACTCAGTTCTCGCAAATGACATAGGACTGATCCTGAGGCAAGTGCATAAGCATCTGTTCTTATCTAACAGCATCATGCCATCCATGAGTGTCCAGCTTCCCTGTGCCATAAACCCGGTACTTCATATGTCAGGATGTAGAACAAGTTAAGGAATTGACATTCTCTACAACATCACAAAGATCCCCAGCCACTGTGAGAAAAGGTGACCCTACCAACTTTGCATGCACAGGAACTAACACCGCCATTCAAGTTAAAATATTCAAATATGGAGTGCAAATATCTTAAATATATTTGATCATTTTGGTCAAAAAACTAGATACGACGGGCTAGTCTTCCTAATGCAACAATCAACAATTTACAGGGCTGTGCTTGCTGTTGAGACCAAGAATCTCAGTATTGCAGGTATAATTTCTGTACAAGAGATTCCGAAAGTGCTCTGAGAAGCAGTTTGTACATTTGTGCCTCCGTATCTTATTTTCTTTACAATAAGATTTTACTTAAGTAGGGTCCTACATTCTAGAGGGTATTTTTTCAAACCATTAGGAGAGGATGGCTTTAATCCTATAAAGGACTGCAAAAGCATCTCAGTTAGAAACAACTAGTAGCCAGTGAACTACTGCCAACCATACTGAACTCCAGAGGAGACAGACTGATTGATTACATTAAGAACTGAGGAGACATTGTTTTTTTGGTGGGTTTGGGCTTTTTGTTTGTTTGTTTTAAATTCTTCCTTGAAGAGAACAAACTCCAAAGCAGAAATGGGAACGACACTTTTGCACTGGTGGCACAAATAAATAACAAGTAATAGAAT